TGTGTATAAGGGACAGATATTTTTCCATGATTTATAATAATTGGAGTAATGCAAATGCATATTTTCTAAAAAAGTCAGTTTTTAGTGAAATTTTGCCGGGAATGGGGCTTTTAAGTCCCTTACGCATAAATGCGATTAGGCTCACTGTCAGTCGTATGCCACCTTCGCATAAATTCGAGTTGGTGAAGGTCTTTAAAAAAACGACCATAGAGCGGCTGTTTTAACACTAACCCAAATAGTGTTTTAATACTGCGCGGCAGTATGTCAACTTGTCAAGATAACCTCTCGTCATGACAACAAAACATTTTTAGTATGTCGACTTGTCAAGATAATCTATCTCGCCATGACAACATACAACTTTTACTATGTCGACTTGTCAAGATAATCTATCTCGCCATGACAACATACAATTTTTACTATGTCGACGTGTCAAGTCGCCATGACAACATACAATTTTTACTATATCGACTTGTCAAGATAATTTATGTTGTCAAGTCGACATAACATACATATCATGTCGACATGGCGAGATAGATTATCTTGACAAGTCGTCATAGTAAAAATTGTATGTTGTCATGGCGAGATAGATTATTGACAAGTCGACATAGGTCAAATACATTATTGTATGTTGTCATGGCGAGATAGATTATCTTGACAAGTCGACATAATATAAGTTGTATGTTGTCATGGCAAGATAGATATCTTGACAAGTCGACATAATAGAAATTGTATGTTGTCATGGCGAGATACTGTAGATTATCTTGACAAGTCGTCAAGTCGAATGACACTTCGGTGCTTCCGTAGAAAGCTAATGAATTTCTGCACATTTTGATGTGAAACTTGCTGGGTGTTGTTTTGTTAGAAGTGTGAGTTTTTGCAAGTTGAAAATATAATTTTTTGAAATGTTGAGAAACTTTATTCTTCTGTAGTTGTTACAGCTGTGCTGGATAATAAGAAGACTTAGAAAATGACATAAAAAAGGATGTTCTGGTCCTAGGCCTAGCTAGCTAGGCCTAGGCAGACCTAGCCAGGCCTGCACTGTGATGGTAATGATGTTAGTAAAATATACGTAGGTCCCCCTAGGCCTAGGATTCGTTATTTTGATTTTCATCAGCAAGTAATTTGACTTTGAAAACACATACTCTGCTAATAGGGCTAGGCCCAATATACTATTTGTGATAGGCCTTGACAAAATATTCCTATCATCATTTATTCACTAAATAATAAATAAAATGCAGAAATAAAAGGGCCTATATGTACAAACCGACTAATGCTGATTAATTGTTTTTAGATTTATATTTTTATAACCTGAATAGTTTATGAATTATTGAGCAAATAATATACACTATAAAAAAAAAAGCATTACGGTGACTTTACTTGTTTCCCAAGAGAGTCTTCTATAATCTGATCATCCTGGATATAGAGGCCAAGCAAAACGCTATAGGCCCCTCGAAAAAAACCAGAATATTTAAAATTTAACATAGGGCGCAAATTTGAGCGGATGGTCAGCCAAACGTACTTCAATTGCAGATTTAAATAAATTAATTGAACTAGCGATAAAGAATTCCACAGCCGCACTGACCTAAATGAAAAAGTATGACTTCTAATAAGTGTTCTACAGTGCTGATGTTTAACCTCTAGTTCTAGCACCTTTATCAAACTCAAAAAATAAATCACCCGAAACCCTATCAATTCCACGGACAATTTTAAAAAGCTCTAAAATATCAGATCTCTGTCTAAGAAACGCCATGGTTTGAAGATTCAATAATTTAAGTCTATCTTCATACGGAAAATCCCTTACCTCCAAAAACATCTTAGTTGCCCGTTGTTGAACTTTCTCTTGTTAAATAATTAGCTGGCACAGGGGATTAGAGGTATTTACAAAACATGTTTTGTACAGACAAACATGGTTTTGTCTTTTACAAAACACGTTTTGTACAGACAAACATGGTTTTATCTTACAAAACTTGTTTTGTACAAACATGGTTTTTTCTTTTATAAAATATGTTTTGTACAGACAAACATGGTTTTTTCTTTATGTTTTGTAAAGACAGAATAACTTTCTAATATTACAAAACATGATTTGTCCCTTACAAACATGGTTTTGTATGACAGAACAGGTAATGTGTCGTTTGGCGCCCCGTATCAGAGGTTTATTTTTAGGCGTTTGGGAGAGAAAAATACTGTAGGACCCCCTAGAGTAGTGTTGTCTTGATCGCCTCCCCCTCCCCCTTGTACATCTCTGGATCCGCCCCGGCAGGACTCTGGTCGGCCCCTTGGTTTAGACTTCACTGTCGAAAATGTTGGACACCATGTCCTGTCCGCAAGTTTTGGCTAATGATCTTTAATAATTTTCGTCAAATTTTGGCTAAAGACCGCTTTCAGTTCGCTAAAAAAAAAAATATGTTAGAGTGATATGTTAGAGTTGTACAATATGTTAATTGTACAACTGATTTTTCTAAGACACAAAATGGCTATTTAAAGAAAAAATTGGGAACGGTAAATCAGATGCACATTTTTAAATATTTAAACATTTTTGAGAAAAGGAGGTGTAACCATCCTGTTTCGCACCGTTCCTTCAGAGCCTGAATTTAAGTCTAAAAATATAATTAAACCAGTTCTTTGAGCTTGGTACACCTGCCTTAATGTCATTTTCTTCTCAAATAAATGTTATTGTAATATCTATAGTATGATTTGTTCTTGCATTGTTTGCCAGTTTGCTATGAAGCATGGATTGTAAGCAAGCATCAGAAATTACAGAACTGGTCAAAGAAAAATGTGAAGTAGCAGTGTCTTCCCTTCGCTGGATTAAAGTTATTGTTGTTGGAAATACAGGAGTAGGTAAAACTTGCCTTATTAAGCACTTCTGTGAGGATAAGGTAAGCAGTCATTGGTCATTTCATATTTATGCAATACAGAAATTGGTGTTGCACAACGTGAGCAAACACATTTGCCCAGAGATTTGAATGAAATTTTAATTTGCTAATATCATTATTAAAGCAACTTGTTTTGCAGTTTTTGGGTTTTGACTGGATGAAGAAAAAAAGTTTTTTTTTTAATAAAAAATTATTAAATTTATTAATAATAATGTATATTGAACTTTAATTTACTTACAATTTTTATACATTTAAAAAACTAAAATTAATTGAAATTAACAAAATAATCCTAAATTACTGTATCATTAAAAATTGACTTTTCTTTAAAAAAAAAAAAAAATAAGCAAAGGTCTGGGGAGGCTATTATTTTTATCTGTGTTCTTCATTTTGTCATTGTTGGTCATTTGTTACCATGATAACTAAATGTTGGTAAGTCTGATTGGTTTTGAATGCAAGATGGTAATAAGACGTAGCCTGTTGTTTTTGGTACTTGTGTTAAATGCTAATTGCTCATTTGCGTAATTGATATTTCACTAAATAAGGAAATTTATGCTAAATACCATCATAATTTCCATAAAAAAATTTCTAATTTAGGTGAAATTGTAATATTTTTTTCATGTTGTCATTGTTGCTGTTGTAGTAAATTGTTTCTTACCATAACTAAAGTTTGGTCAAAATTTTGATTGGTTTCAAACGCCTTTCAAAAATCACACCATAGCTATGCTTTTACTGTGCAGCTTTAGTAGCATTTCTAGTTTAAAGAATATTTAGTAATAAGTTCATATACACACATCATCTCAAATTTAGTCCTGGAACCTGGCAATAGTTATTAAATCATGTGTTTTCATTAATTAGAGTGCAAAAGTATGGAATGGTTGAGTTATTATACCATTTTGTTCTGCAGTGGATTTCAGTGAGCTTATTTTTATTTCTAATTGAGAAGCCTTTTAAACCACCTCTATACAGTACTTCAGTAATTCTGGCATTTTTTCCTTCCAAACTGAAGCACTAACTTCTCCCACCAGATTTTAAGGCTGTCTAGCACAGCAGTGCAAAACTCATATTGCTGCCCCCAGAATTGTTCTTTGCGGCATATGTATGCCTTAACTGCACGCTATAATTACAGTGTAATTATATTGCTCCGACACAGACAGGTTCATGTTAGGGACAACATATCCCCGGCTTTATTCAACACAACTGCAGAGCGCGGACGTGCTCAGGGTGTACACAGCAATCAGGGATTCATAATATAGTACAATTTCCTCCCTTGTAATTTTAATGTTGAGTTTAATCAGGGAAAGTATTGCTTCACTTAGCTGCATCGTTTATAAGTATCGGCTATTAACTTTATGCAATTAATTATATGTCCTGTAATGAAACATAAATTAACAACAATTCTGTAACTGTACATCATAATAAAGAGTGAAAGTCCAAAACTCTGTATTAACGCAACATTGTTCAGTAATCCATAATCCTCTCCTCATTTGTACCAAAAGTACAGGTTTCAGGTTTGTAGGTTACTGTACATCATTATGTAACATAGGCATCTATAGTTTCATCTTCATGCTGAATTCTTTTATTGAACATAAATTTCGTTGTATTCTGAAATACATAGTAAAATGTCATCACGATTTTCGTTAGGCTCAAATTGAAACACATCAAAAGCTTCAACACCAATACAGGCTAAAAACACAGCCCCTCTGTATTTACTTGTTTCTTCATTTAGCCTTGAGGCTAACTCATAATTAGTCCACTGTCGTTTGTATTTTCTCCACTCAGATTCAAGGTTTCTTGACCTCATGTCTAGTCTACTAGGCACATTGTTGGACGGTATTTTTGCGGACCAACATTAAGCTGGTCGTTGCTATGTGTAGGCGGTCCCTGGGCCCCTCCACTAGCTACAGCAGACGACTCTTTGGAGCCCTGATCCTCCATCATGGCTAACAATTAGAAAGTTATTTCAACCTACTTTTTTTTTTTGTGTTAAAAACTATAGCCTTTTCTTTCCAAACTGCGTTGGTAGTTTCTTTATCCTTGTCGCCAAAAATGTATGCCTTAACTGCACGCTATATTTACAGTGTAATTGAATTGCAAACAAACTCCAACACGCATGGACACACACCTGAACAAGTCAAGTTTATGCTAGGGACAGTGTATCCCCGGCTTTAATCAACACAACCGCAGAGCGCGGATGCGCTCGCAGTGTACATACTTTATTATGATTTTAAGTACCTTTTAAATTATTTGATATATTGATTCAAATAGGTTGCTTGGGAATTTACATTTTGGATTTCACTATTTCCTGTTTACAAGAAGGGGTCCATAGCAGTTTGAAAAAAAACAAAAGTCCATATGTTAATAATAGTTTTTCAGGATTGAAGCTCATTGTTTTGATGTACTATTTACTGCTAAATTGACAATTTTCCAACAAATCAAGTACCAGTATTTGGAAAATTGTGGGTCCTAATTTTGTTCCTTTGGAAATTCCTTAAGTTATTTTTGCCATTATATTCTTTTACCATCGAAGTTCTTCATTTTTATCTCACTGAGAGTTCAATTCTAATAATTTAATTGTCCTTACTGTATGCATTCATATGACATTACTCATGCACATCAACCCAAATGACGCCGGACATATGGGGTCAAGCAGATAAAGAACCCAGATTATACCAGTCTTTTGGTCAGTATTTTTTTCTTGTGTTTGACTTCAAATGTTTTGCTGTTTGGGCGGCCCTAAATTCCGAAGCTGGCCTTGCCCTTTGAATTGAAGAAAAATGATTGTACTGGGGATGATAATGCAAAGTGTATAGAACCAGTTCACTACAGTATGCCATATATTTATAAATGTTGCATTATTATTAATTTGTTTTTTGTGTACTGTAGTTTTCAACAGGTTACCAAGCAACTATAGGAGTGGACTATGGATTCAAAACATACTCTGTAAATGATACCGAATGTTAGTATAATGATGCAATGTTTTTGTGATTTTCGAGGTCACCCTGTGTCCATATGAGTGAGTGTATACATCTTATTTTGTGGACAGTTAACATCTTTTCTTAAATTTACACCAGTTAACCAGATATATGAGGCATGTTGTGGCAAAATGGCTAAGTTGTAGCAAAAATTTAAATTCAAGTTATTGGTATTTTCAAATACCTGAGTATGTGATCTTTGAAATGAGGGGTCATTCATTCAAATTGGACATTTCAAACCTAAGTTATTGGAAAGTGAAAGTACAGTACTCTTAGAGTCAAGATAAACAGGATTTTGAGTAATTGCCTTTCAAAGTTATTTGTGCATAACATAATCGGAAATAACGAAAGTTGCTATAAGAGTTGGGTTATTCCCTGCCATGGGTCATAGATTAGAAAGCTGAAATTTGTGGTATTTGTCCACATAACGAACCCTTAATGGAAAACATAGGCTTTTTTCACTTTTTTAGGGCTGGTCCCAACTATGAATGGATGCCATTCCATTTTAATTCATTTGATCAGCCTGTGCTTGCTTGTGGCTAGAGACAACTACCCATAAATAATATATATGTAATATAAGATGTATACACTCACTCATATGGACACAGGGTGACATCGAAAATCTAAAAAAAAATGCGTCTTTAAACAAATTGGCTATTTTGAGTGCTGATAACTTCAAAAGAGAAGGGATATCAGTTAATCTGATGCCATATTTGTGTAATATGGTGGAATATAAGTTTAGAATACCAAGTTTGACCTTGATAGCTATTACCAATCCCGAGTTATAAGCTTCCAGAGTTTGAGGAAATTGCGTTTGTGCATCTTGAAGAACCACGCCCCTTTTTTGTGTCAATATCTCAGAAACTACAAAACCTATAACACTAATTTTTTTTTAAGTGTTGGTTTTTCACATAGTGGATCATTTTTATGGAGTTTCATTAAAATCTGAGAGGGTCATATTGGAACTTTTTTTAAAACTGGTTGATTTGACATGGAATGACCCTAGTGTATATGAACATTTTTAGATTTTGAGGCATTGTATAATTGCCATGTTATATCTGTATTCATTTTTTCGTAGCAGATGAAATATAATCTCGTTGAAATAGTGCATCCTGGGCGATTTTATATTATGTTTGTACATTATTGGTTTTACTTCTCAGATAAAAAATATTCTCAATACATCTTGTATTGAAGAAACTTTGATTCCAAAGTTGTATAGAAATAATAATAATACTGTTAACAAACATACAGTTTTGGAAGCAAAAACAAATCTTAAATAGGAGACTGAAAGGCAACAAAAACCTGCCTTTCTCACAGTTCAATAAAAATATTGGAAATAATAAAGAAACATGGCGTGTTCTTTTTATAGTAAGAATTCATCTTTGGGATCTGTCAGGTAGCAGTGATTACTTGGATGTACGCTCAGAACTGTACCATAACACTCAGATCGTCCTTCTGGTGTATGACATCACCAATGCACTATCATTTACCAGCCTAGATAACTGGTACAAGGAAATCACTAGATATAGTAATGGAGGTGCACTTACTATACTAGTTGCTAACAAGGTAATGTTTTTAAAAAAGAGAGAAAAGAAAGAGAAAATAAGCACAAAACTGTGGCTCATTATAGTTGGCTCATTTTTATCATCACTGCTGCTGCTCTTGTGTGTTTCTGCATGGAAACAATTATGATGTAGCAGAGGGACTACATTTTTCTAGCATACATCATTTGAAACATTGTCTTGTGTGAATGAATTTGGTATTAGCCATGTGAGTATATAAAACACTATGAGCATGTGAGCGATCTCTGTATATTTCTGAAAGAAGTGTTTTCTCCACTGTACTTTTTAAAAATTATTAAATTTTGTCTTTTTCATAATTGGCCTCCCCGAAGGAGCAAAGCTCTGGGAAGACTATTGCTTGTGCTTCCCTAAGTAGGCCGACTAGGACCATGGAGGTATTATTGAGAAGGTGATCACTCATCAACAGATCCCTTTGACGCAAAAAACCAATGTGTTCCTCGCCTTTGGATCGCGTGCAGGCGTATTGTCTTATTATGAACATTTTTTTCGTTGGCAACGACATGCTTTTATATGCTTCAACACAGCAGTTGTGCGATAAATGGTTTGATTTTAACTCATTAAATTCCTTTATAATCAACCATGCCATGGGGCCATGGCACTCCGCACCCCTCCCGTCAGCGTCCTAGCGTGAGGCCACTGTAAATACATATGCTTTAATGATTTAAATTGGATGATTTCTGGCCGCAACCTGTGGCTGTATTAACCTAGGGCAATGTACCATAGATCTTACAATCAACGATACAGCACACCCGCCAGGCAGTGGTGTATCTAGAAGTCTCGAAATGGGGGTGTAAATTTGATATGGGGGGTGGGGGCATGCATTATATATCAAGGAATTCATGATCGTACGTATGGAATGCCAATGTTCACATTAGTGGTTCATTTTAAATGTTCGGAAAGTAATTTTTAAACGGTTTTGTAATATTAAATAGGTTTTTTTTCTTTATTTTTATCAAAACTATATTATATTTCCATTTAATTTGTGTTTTTGATGATATCAGTAGCAGAGATGATATGAAGTTACAGTAGGTGAATACACATGACATCTTCACTGCCATCGCACATGTTTGCATCTAAAAATAGCTAGTCTGTTTTTAGCATCATCTGACTACGGTATTCTGTTTTTGCAGTAATGCGCCAACATTCCTAAAGGCAGGGTACAAAGAATCTTACCCTCAAGATTACGTGGGAGCCAGCTTTTGAAAAAGTTTCTTTCCGATTTTTGTTATCGTTATTTTCCAGGCAACTAGTACTACTTGATTTTGTCCTGCTTGTTAAAAAAAGCCCGAAACAGCCATTAATATGCATTATATTAAAACTGTATTTTATTAACCAAATCTGAATATGTATCAAAACTTAAAAAATACAAACCTTGTGTCTGCTTCAATCAAGAGTACGGTACCGTGGGAATTTATTTTGTGAGCGAATATTTTTTTACATGCCAGTCTATTAATTGTTTTGTTTTATTAATTTTGGTAATTTTTATATATATTTACCAATTATAATTAACTATATTCTTGTTTACAGTATAAATAATTGCCTACTAGGCAAACCCAATTTCCCCATTCCATTGTCCTACCTCATGCTTTTACTGAGTAGCGTAAAAGGAGTAATTCTAGTTCTACTTATTTTGTCCTTTTGAAATTTATTTTATTATACAGTATTTCAATTGGTATAATTGATCTAGAAAGTCACAAGTACACTGCTTGGCGGAAACTGAACTGTAACTTAGAAAAAGGAATGAATGACTAAATATATTTGACTTGTACTCTACACTATTTCATCCATATTCTCATTTAGATTGATCTAAAATCAAAACGGATTGTATCAATAGATGAAGGCTTGAAGTGGGCTACAGCAAAAGACATTCTGTGAGTTATTTTTTTCTGTCATTTGTATTGTACAAAATACATTAAAACTAAAAGGTGAGAATATTCACAATTTTTCCTCTCCGGAGCCTGACTTTAAATGTTTTCCATTTGAACCACAGATATTTTGAAACTTCAGCATCAAGTGGTAATGGGGTGAGTCGGATGTTTCAAGATGTTCTGCAAAAATTGATGTCACGGACAGATGAATAGTACCAGTGCATGTGAAAGTTACATGGCTATACCAAAAAAGCGAACCATGTCATTGCCCAAGGCAGGTCGGTGATGCTTGTCAACAGCAAAATGAGCTTCACTAACTATTCGCAGAGTCTTGAGTTTAGTTGGCAACTGAACTACAGTAGAGCCCATCGTTTGAGACACTTATTTGAGACAGCAAGTGCACTCGCTATCCCTTGTATCGCTGCATTTGACAATGTTGTCGCTGAGGTCCAAAATGGGAAGCGTGAATTAAGCGTTTCAAGAATTATGGCTTAGCCCTGTCCGTGTCGTTGGAAGCGCAGAAACGTGCAATGCTCCTACATGCAGTATGGCCGCGTTGCTTTGAAATATTTGACAGTCTACCTGATACAGGAACTACTTATACGCACATGCCATTTAAGGGGCTCTGTCGAATCATTTTAGGCTTCAAGTTAATATTGAATATGAGAGGGCTGTATTTAGACGTCTTAGGCAGAAGTCAAACGAGAAACTAGCTACTATACCCGACTAAGGAAGGTGGCTGGTACATGTAACTTCCAACATATTGACCAAGAACTGAAGTCACATATTATCCAAACAACTACTGACTCAAAGTTAAGAAAACAGAGCCTTAAGGAAGATGGACTTACGCTAGCACAAATCCTACAAATTGGAAGGTCAAATGAACTAGCGCAGGTCCAGAATAGTGATTTGGAGAAGGACTTGGGCTGTATTCCCTAGCTCAGTCTCATCCAGAAAATCGAGTCCATGCTGTAAGTACCAAAAGACAGAACAGTAAAACTGTTCGCCCTAATAAAGGAAATGGAAACAGTGCCAGTGGTTCTGTTTATGGCAAGGTAAAAATGCTTTGGCTGCAGTAGGTCATATCCACACCCAAAAGGCCCAAAGTCTTGTCCAGCATTTGGATACGGATACTATCTTGTGTAAAACTAATGATAACGTTACTTTTACAGACACATTCTATGTTGTAGAATGCCAATGTGGATGCTTGTTAAGCAACAGGGCTAGCCAGAATTTAAAACTGGTAGCGGTTAAACAATATGTTATTGTGGTAATAGAAAGTAGTGATCTAGTTCAGAAATACCTAAATGTGTTTGACGGGATTGGGCAGCTTAAGAATTTTGAAGTCAAGTTGCACATTGACGAGAGTGTATTGAACACTGACAAGAGTGTAACCCCTGTAGCTCAGCGCCACAGGCGTATCCCATACCACATGAAAAAAATGGTTGTTAGAGTTAGAACGTAAATGATATTGAAAGAGTGGATGGTCCCACTCCTTGGGTTTCCCCTATAGTTGTAGTCCTGAAACCCAAACGGGAAGGGGAGGTACGAATTTGCGTTGACATGCGGCAGGCCAACCAGGCAATAAAGAGCGAAAGACACCCTTCACCACTGTAAATGATATTGTCGCGAAACTAAATAGTGCAAAGCTGTTTAGTAAAATTGACTTGAGAGCAGGCTACCATCAGCTTATGCTCAGTAAAGACTGGCATTATATCACTACGTTCTCCATCCTTGTTGGGTTGTGGTGATACAAGCGTTTGAGTTTCGGCATATCAAGCGTGAGTGAAGTGTTTCAGAATGTTATTGAAAATGTAATTTCCGGCATAGTTGGTGCCTTTAATATCTCAGATGATATATTCATTTTTGGGAAGGGCAATGATACAGTGGCCCAGCATGATAAATACCTTGATCAAGTTTTGACTCGCTAAAATGAAAATGGTCTGACAGCTAACCTGTCTAAATGTGAATTGCGCAAGTCCAAAACCGAATTTTATGGTACGGTATTTTCTGAAGCAGGCATTGAGCTTGACCCTAAAAAGGTAGAAGCCATTGTATCCATGAAAGCACCGTTTAACATCAGCGAAGTGCAGTGTTAGGTATGATTAATTATTTGCTTGGTTCATCCCAAATTACTCCACCATTACTGCGCCCATACGTAAGTTAACCCATAAAGACAAGGTGTTTGCTTTGCTTAAAGAGCAGCAATCTGCATTTGATGAAATTAAGAAAATATTAAGCTCATCACCAGTTGTTTCATATTTTGATGTAACTAAAGAAAATGAGTTCATAGTAGATGCATCACCAGTGGGGTTAGCTGGAATTCTTGTCCAGTATGAAACCAAAGAGGGCTGTTGCTTATGGTAGCAGAGTGCTTACGCCTGTAGAGCAGTGGTATAAAAGCCAGTTAGAGCGTGAAGCACTAGCGGTAGTGTTGGCCTGTGAATACTTTCATGTCTATATCTTTGGTGCCCCGATTCATATAGTCACTGATCACAAGCCCTTGGTAACCTTATTCGGAAATCCCAATGAGAATTTACCATTACGGTTAGAGCGATGGGCGCTTCGACTTTTGCCATACAAACCGACTATTGTGTATAATATAGGCAAAGATAACCCGTCTGATTATCTGTCGCACCATCCTCAAGATTCTAAACTAAGTTCACGTGAAGAGAATATCGCTGAAGAATATGTTGGTTTTGTAAATGAATGAAAGCATTCCAAAAGGCCAAGACAATCGACGAGGTCGTAAAAGATTTGCTGTCCACCAACAAATGGTAATTCTAAAGTTGATTTTCAAGCACTTAAGTCATACAATTGCGTCTGCACAGAATTAACTATTAGTGAAAATGGCCTTATTCTACGTGGTACTAGGATCGTCATGCCCAAGGAACTACAAGCTTGTGCAGTACAGATTGCCCATGAAGGGCATCAAGGGTTGGTTAAAACCAAAGCACTCTTAAGAGAGAAAGTTTGGTTTCCGCAGTTAGACAATAAGGTAGCTGATGTCGTAGATTCGTAGATAAATGCATAGCATGTAAAGTATCATTCAACCCTAAACAGAGAGAACCCATTCAAATGACCGACTTACCTCCACACAAATGGTCATGTTTGGCCGCAGACTTCTTCGGACCACTGCGTTCTGGAGAGTACTTACTAGTTATAGTTAATGAGTATTCTCAGTCATCAAGAGGTATCCCTGACAAACTGAAAACTGATGATGGAACAACCTTTCAAAGCGAGAAATTTAAAAGCTTTGCGAATTATTTAGGATTTTATCATCAAAAAGTTACTCCTTACTGGCCTGAAGCCAACGGGGCCGCAGAAAGATTTATGAAAACTATTGGACAATTTTGTAAATGCGCACAAGCCGAAAGCAGGCTGTGGAAACAAGAACTTTATAAGTTTTTATGAATTTATAGGTCTACACCCCACTCGTTGACGGGTGTTGCACCGGCTACTGTGTTAAATGGTGAGGTCTTAAAAACTAAGTTACCCCAAGTTCTGTCGAAGAAAATGATATGGAGTTTAGTGAACGCGATAAATAGCAAAAAACAAAATGAAAGTATATGCCGAGGAAAAACGTAATATCAAGTCGTCAAGTGTAGACGTGGGTGACAAAGTTGTGTTAAAGAACATGTCACAATCTACAAAACTTTCCCCCAAATTCCAGCCTGAGCCTTTTGAAGTAATTGGTGTAAAAGGCTCTATGATCACAGCTCGTCGTGGGAGAGTACTTAAGTCATGTAGGAAATTGAATCGGTCTGTTGAGGGTTCAGAGAATTCTGATCGATCTGCTTGCAGACAATGCCAGCACAAGTATGTCATACCCGTTCGATCTCCTCCGCCTATAAGGGTTTAGGAATGTTCCTAAACGCTTCAAAAAACTTTTCTGACGACAGGTCGGTAGATTAGATGTGGCATTCATGTACTATCTAGTTAGATGAGTTGTGTCAGTAAGTATTACTTACTGTTGATATTTCAGTATGCCTACTGTTATTGTTGGTTTTACATTACTGTTGTACAGTATATGCTCTGGTGTTATTGTTATGTTTTAATAGTACAAAATAATAATTTAAAAAAAGACAAAAAACAGTTAACTATATAAAACATCATATTTATGAAAGATACAGCAGTCATGATAATCACATCTTCAGTAATAATTGTAATATTTTAATGGGAAATTTCACATGAATGATAACATAATGTATGTCACAATCCCAAGTTTTTACAGTTCAGCAAGTTCAAATTTTATTGTAATTCCGCATCCCAACTCTTTTTGAAAGTTTGGGGAGATGTAGTGTAGGGCTGTTGTACTACTTTGTGTTATGTGCCGTTGCACGCGCGGATTAATATAAATTATAAAGTTTTAGTTGAGGACGACATGGCGTGTGTGCATCGTTGTTGTTATTGTCTGTATAAACAACACTAAACATTTAACATGTGTTACTCGCATAAACCAATCTTGGACCCTCAATTATCGAATATATATATTTTTCTCTAATTTACATCCATACATTAACTCGACTTCTAAGTAAGTATTGCTACAGTAGCTTGTACATCCATTAGAAAGTTTGGTTTTTTAAAGAATATGGTCATTAATTGATAGCAATTGATTCATAAAACAACTTTTGTTGTTTTAATTATGTTTATGTTGATTGAAGTATATACTGTATTAAATTTCTGATAATTGGGCGTACACATGTATATTTTTACTACAGTAATAACTATTAAATAACTTCCAATAAAAACAATTGTTAATTATTTGTTTTCATTTTTATTTATGACTTGGTGGTTTCAAAACATAGCATTTCCGCTGTGCTAGATGAATTCTACAAAATCTAAATTGCTACTACAATATATTCGCGCGTATAAGAAGAGGATCGTTAGTAACATGCCAATTTACTACTGAAATGAAGCTGCTGTTAGTATGAATGGAACACAATTTTAAATGCAGGGAAATAAGATTTTGATGAACATTTAAAAGCCCATAAAATGAACAGAGGGTCGTCTTATATGCCTGGCATACATAAATCATCCAGAAATATACGGTATATATGTGAATAGAGAGGATTTACATTAAATAACGACTGTGCAACATAATGTGGTAACTTGTTTTTAAGTACTGTACTTTATTAATAAACTGAATTTTAATTACTACTATGATCTTTTACTTAAATTTGGACTATAGGTTTACTGTAATATATATTTGAACATTGGTGGTACAATTAAATTTCACATGCAATTTAGTACTACTGTATATACTGTAGCACTAATATCTACCAATATGTATACAATACATTTTTATTATTTTCTATAATAATAATAATAATAATAATTGGAATGATCAAATTCGTAAGTACCTGTAACATTTAACATCCAATACAGATGTACAAAGGGACCTAGGGCTACAGGTATAGTATGCGAGATATATTAAAACAACAGGCCCATAACCCCACAGGATAGGGAGTTCCGCTCTACTAGACCAACACAAAACACAACTTTATACAGTACGATGGTGCACTTGTCAATGTGTGCCTTGGCCTTATAAGTTTGACATGCACTGTAGCATTTATGTGCGACTATACTCAAAAGAAATTTTGGACAGTAAATGAAGATGATGTATATGATATGATCCTATCTGTAGATACTACATTTGATCAACTAACCATATTGCATGATGAGCCTACTCCCGATTCTTCAATATTTGCACATAATATCGATTCAGTTGTAATTCATTTTTAATTAAAGGTGGCGGTCATAGTTTTCAACATTTTTTAAAAGAGACCCCTGGACCCCAAAGGTTTTGAAAAAGACCCCCCCCCCCCCAATTACCAAAGCTGGTTACCGTAGGGCCTGAATGAACAATTGTTATTACATATTCCTTTAACTTATAGACATACAATTATATATTGACACATGTTAGGGCCACCAACTTTTTGGCAACACAAAACATCAAAGAAATATAAATACAGTGTTCGAATAAAGGACATGATGGTACATCGTGTAGCATACTGTAGTTCTCAACAAATGTTAGAAACTGAGTAACAAGTAGACTTTTAGAACACAATCTGTACTTCTCTTCATGTTTTATATATATATATATTCAGCAGTGATAATTCATAATAATATCTAGTTGAATTCATGAAGTCATTCCGGCAGCGGTTACACTGAACTTATGGTTGAAGCCTATTAAAAAAAAAAGGGAAAAAAATCAAGATTAGGTTTTAATAGCAACATTTTGATTGATAATTGGTACTCTAATGTGTGGCGGTAACACAGAGTCTAACCTCCTGTAGGCCCTGGCAAAACAGCAGGCTTACTTGGGACGAGGAAATACAAATGTTATCAATTTTGTAGGCCAAAATAAAAAAAACTTACACTGGTTACAAGATTGGCATGTGGCTAATCAATTATTTTTTTTGCTTTTATACATGTATTAAAATATTTATTGCTATTCACCTAAACAATTCGAACTAAATTTAAAAAGTATAAAAAACGACTCGCCCCCCTTCTTCCACCATGAGCAGTAAAAAACTTAGCAACTCGATTTGGAAAACTTGTTTGCTGTGCCATTTCAACTAATGCTACAAGGCGCTTGATACCCACCCAAACCCTGGAAATAGAAAAAATAATATTACAAGCGATTACATATAAAAAGTTTTAATATCATAAATTAGAAATTGTGGGTATTGTGGAATAAGCATAAACATACTAAAAATGCAAAGCAATGTATGTAGTTACTCCCAAGTCCCTGCAATTCACACGAGTTACCAGAAAATTGCGACGGCCTACCTAACTGCTGCAAGCAAACAACAAACAAGAAAGATGTAGGATCTCAATTATTAATCTATCCCAAACCCTTGGAAGTACAAAATAATACCGAGTGAAAAAAGTATTTGTCTAGAAACCGATAATTAATTAGTGGGTTGAGACATTGTACTGTTAACTAAAAATATAAGGCACTAACCTCAAACAAGTCCAAGGATTTGCCACTGTGCCAAACTGCTTCCACAATTATATATTGTGGCGGTTTCGGCCAAGCACTCTCAGTCTAGTCTAAGTCCTGCGTAAGTAAGTCTGTCGGACACGCCGTCAGATAATACGGATCAACTATTTAATGAACTTCAAACAAAATTAACTGAGTTTCTCATAGCATTTATTGGATCAATAAAACTGGTACCATTATCAACAACAAATACAATGTCATATATGCGGAGCACACAGCAGCCGTCGACCGGTTCCCGTTAACACCGGAATTAAACTATAAGTAGGCCTGTCCCTTACTACAGGTCCTACCTTACTTAACACTAACGTCGGGATTTCCCAGTTCTAAACTTCATGAGATCCTGAGCTCAACTACTACATGTCTTGGGCGATGGGTCTTAAAGGGGGGGGGGGGGGGGTGTGCGGAGATGAAACGATTAATTTTTAATTTAAAATAGAGGGATGGGCGACCACAATGACGGTTACTGCACTCGATTTTGGAGCGCGGTATTCGAAAACGAGGCTCGTGAACTGGGCCCCAAAAAAAACCTGGTGCTACAGGATTTTGAGCTAGTGTTATAAGATAGGGAATTTCCAAAAATGTACCGACTTTCAAAGGCTTGCATTCGGTAACCCCATAAAAAATCGTGTCAAACTTTAGATATTACAATGTAATTTTGGCCGTTCTTTTCATTTATATGGGTTTTCACTTATGAAAATGTCTCAATTATGGGTAAAATAACGATTTGCCCCAGTTTTTATTTCGGAAATTCGCACTAGACAGGGAGTCAGCCGATTCACTCAACCGTAATGAGCTGGTAACGACACACAGCCAACTTATGAGAATGGTCGTCGCGAGCGGAAAATTGAAAAATTAGGACTGGCAAAAATATTCAATAACAATAATATAATAAGTCGAAGGTATTTTTGAAGAATCAATCTTTCAAAAAGATATGTTTGCTGGTTTGGATAAGGAAGTCTTGGAAGTGGTGATCTTAAAGCCCCATTCCC